GGACAGATGCGTGTGGACTGGATGATCTCTGAGGTCTTTTCCAACCCAGTGATTCTATGATTCTATGCCTGTCCACAGGAAGGGCCGGAGGAGGGTCTGGACAACCACGGGCCTGTCAGCCTGACCTCAGTGCTGGGAAGCCGATGGAGCAGGTTGTCCCGAGTGCCATCAGACGGCACACACAGCCCGGCCAGGTGATCCAGCCCGGTCACCCTGGGTTTGTGAAAGGCGGGTCTTGTCGGCTGACCCGGACTCCTGTGACCGGGTGACCTGCTCTGTGGAGGAGGGAAAGGCTGTCCGTGTTCTCTGCCTGGGCTTCAGAACAGCCTGTGACGGCGTGTCCTGCGGTTTCTCCTGGAGAAGCACTCTGCTTGTCCCCTGGGGTGGGGGCAGGTCTGGCTGGGTGGAACCCTGGCTGGATGGCTGGGCACAGGGATGGCGGTGGTGGGGGTGTTGCTGCCTTTGATCGGGTGTGCGCTGCCCCGCACCGTTCTAACGACACCGATCACTTGCTGGATGTGGAGCAGAGGCATTCAAGGACGGGAGAGGAAAATGTTGCTTACTGCAAGGTGGTGACTTGTTTCGTGGAAGGCAAACATGGACAGCGTTTCCTAACTCCTGTTGCTTTTTGTCCTTTCCCCTCCTGGGAGCCTTGGGGTGACAGCCCCGCGGATCCTCGCCCTGCTGCGAGAGGGACTTCCAGAACCGGTGTGTCTCCCCGGGTTGGGAATGCGGAGTGTTTGGGTAGAAGTGCAGTGCTGTGCTGCCTCCCGGTGGCTCTGCACTTTGCTCCTAAACCCCTGTGTTAGCATGGAAAAAATCACTTGGGTGTAGATCATACTGGAGTATCCCTGTGTTTCCCTCTGTCCCGGTCCCGGGCAGCAGCTGGCAGAGGTGCCTGGGACATCTGGCCCCTCCTGCTGAGGCTGGGGGCAGGTCTGTGGCCCCCAAGCTGGCTGCCTGCCCTGCCACCTGTCCCTGGGGCCATTTTTTCCTGCACCCCCTCTCAATGCCTGTGTCCCCATCCCTTTCCTTCTGGAACCCCGCCTGGGTGGATGGGGTGCTGGCAGCTGTGTCCCTGACCCCCCTCCCGGCGTGTGTGGGGCAGTGGTGTGCCCCCCCCGCTGCCATGACCCCCTGCCACCCAGGTGGGTAACGGGAGCGTGACAAGCCCTCTCGGGCAGGGAGCCCGGGTGCCTCTTCCACCCCTGGCTATTTTGGTAAGCTGTGACTCCGCGCTCCGGTGGAGACGTGACCCTTCTCAGCATGGATGTACGAAAACACTGCAGTCATCGTAGGATCAGATTGTGTCTGTCTTAACTGTGGGGCCCCCCCGGGGTGCTGGGACCACCAGGAGCAGCCCCTGGCCCAGTCAGCGCTGCACCGGCCATGTGCCCAGCGTGCAGGGTGCTGCGAGACCCCCGTGACACCGCCCAGGCAAGGACTGTGCTCAGGGCTGTGTGCCCAGGGGCTCCTTGATGGTGGGCAGGGGTGGGGGGTCCCGGCTGGGGCTGCTCAGGGCCACCAATGCCTGTTAGTGCCCCCAAGGCAGGCACAGCTGACTGTCCTGTGTGACACAGTCCTCATCCATCCCTGCTAAGCCTCTCCCAGTCGGGCTCTGGGATGACAGCCATACAGACAGTCTGAGTGTGCTGTGTGTCGCTAATGCAAATGATATGCAAATTACCATCCCCAGTCCAGCTGAGGGGAAAATTCAGGGCAGTGATGGGGTGAGCGAGGTGGGAAGTGTCCCTGCTGGTAGGAGGGGGTGAGGGGCAGCAGTGGTCCTACAGCTGGTAGAAGAATGCAGCCCATGTTTTAAACCCTCAAGGATGTTTGTTGTTGCAGAAGCAGCAGAGAAATTAAAATCAGAGACAGGGAGTACATGTAATAATTGATAGGTAACGTAAGAAGCTTCTAGTGCTTTTGCATTTCACTGAAAACCCCAATGAGACCCTGAGAGCACCGCTTTCCAGGGTGGGACGGGACGTAAGGCCCTTCTGTGCTGCTTCAGGGCTGTACCCTAACGCCGAGCCTGCAGACCCCAGTACAGCTACTGAGCCTGTGCCAACCAACAAGGACAACGGATGGGTTTGCAGCAATTCAGGTACTCACAACTTCACCCAAATCACACTTCTTTTGTTTTTCTCTAGAAATAAATCCTATTGACAACAGCTGCCTTAAATGTGGATGAGGGGGTTGTACTACAGTCTTTGATCAATTGTTTAAGTCTTATGTTTTGGGCTATATTTTACCCAGAGAAGCTGTGGGTGCCCCATCCCTGGGAGTGTCCAAGGCCAGGCTGGATGAGGCTTGGAGCACCCTGGTCTGGTGGAAGGTGTCCCTGCCCATGGCAGGGGGGGGGGCTGGGGGGGCTTTAAGTTCCCTTCCCACGAAAACCATTCCATGATTCTGTGATGATTAAGGGCTGAGACACATCCTGGTTATACTCAATTGTTTCCCATTTAGGCTAGACAGTACTTTTTTTGCTGGACAGCCTTGCAAATGCTCTGTGCTCTGAAGAGGTTTATTTCCTGGGGTGTTTCCTAAGCAAGCAGTTTCTTGGGGGTCCGTTTGAGCAGAACTTGGTTGACCTGGATGATTCTGTCACAGTAATGCTGTGAGTGGTCTGTGGAAACGCAGTGGGAGTGGCAGAGGTGTTGCTGTGCTGAACAGAGACAAATTGTAAGCCCGTGTATTTCTTCCTTCCAACCCACAGCTTGAAAATTCAACCTGATGTTGCAAGACTTATTTTTAGCCAGGCTGATTTATTGAGGTAGCAGGTCAGTGTCTGAGCTAGTTCATGCAAGTCCTTCCCCGGCAGCACGCAGTGACAGGCAATCCCAACTACGGTGATCCGTGGCACGGAGCAGGCGGCTGCGGGGGATGCAGCGGCAGTGTGGGATGCTGGTTCTGGGCAGGGCTACGCTCTGACTGCTGCTCTTCCCATCGTAGTTTTATCCCTGGCTTTAGTCCACATAAGTTGACATTTATTTTCTTTCCTTATTTGCTGAAACACCAGTAGTTTGGAATACATGAAAATGCAGAAGATGGGAATACATGAAAATGCAGAAGATGGGAAGGAGGCAGGCTGCATGACTCTTGGTACACTACTCCTGTGCTGGAGTTGATGCTTTGGGGTTGCCTTGGGTGAATGGTGACTTCAATTAATTATTCTTTCTCCAGGTTCACTTGCTGCTGCCTGGAGCTCTCCCCAGCACTGGCCGCAGGCTGGGCGATGGGACCAGAGGTGTGCCTTCCCGTTTCAGTTGGAGTGGGGTCAGGAGTGTCGGGCTCTGACCTGGCTGTTGTGCTGCAGAAGGATGAGGGAAAACGGGGTGACCTGTTGTAGGCTGAGGAGGGACAGCACAGCTGGATGTGTGAAACATTGGAATATTTTGGATGTGCCCAGACCTAAAATAAAGAAAATGCTTGAAAGGTTGACTCAGGCCACCTCCTCTGCATTTGGGCTGGGGAAACACAGTTCAGCTTTCAGCCTTCTGTGATGCTTTGTGCTCTCTGCTCTTCTGAAGGTGCTCCATCCCTTTGGATGGTGCAAAACTTCAGCAAGATTCAACTCAGACTTGAGTGTTTTACCCCTTCAGTTTATCTCCAAAGTGCTCTTGGTGCTGTTGCCCCTCCTCTGGTGTGTGCCTGAGCTGTAGAGTTTCCTCTGTGGAATTACAAGGAGCGGCTGAGGGAGCTGGGGGGTTCAGCCTGGAGAAGAGGAGGCTCAGGGAGACCTTATTGCTCCCCACAGCTCCCTGAAAGGGGGGTGCAGAGGGAGGGTCGGTCCCTTCTCCCAAGGGACAAGTGATGGGACAAGAGGGAACGGCCTCAGGTTGTGCCAGGGGAGGTTTAGATGGGCTCTCAGGGAAATCCCTTCCTGGAAAGGGCTGTCAGGAATGTGCTGCCCAGGGAGGGGGCAGTTCCCATCCCGGTGGGGGTTTCAGAGCCGTATGGATGAGGTGCTCAGGGACATGGGTCAGTGGGCGGCTGGGCAGTGCTGGGGTAATGGTTGGACTGGGTGGGCTTAAGGGGCTTTTCCAACATAAACTATTCTGTGATTATTATCCATTTCTGAGTCCACCCTGTGCAGAAGTTGTTACCTGCAGGAGATGCACAGAAATCTCTAAATCCTGAAGATAGTGGTAATTAAACCTGATCTTTCAAATATTAACCAGAAGCCCTGTAAAAGTTCACTGTATTTTCTGCCAGACCTACCATTGCACAATCGCCTCGGAGTGTCAGCACACGGCGAAGGGTTCGCTTTTGCCAAAGCAGGAGGGGGTGGTTGAAGGCAGGAGGTGGTGGCTTGTGAAACAGCCATGGGTTACACGCTGCTGCATCCTGGTCCTGTCTGTGTCTGACCTGGGCTGCATCTAGACAGCTGCAGCACGGAGCAGCAGCTAATAGCTCCAAATACTCCGTACATCTTTTTGCATTTGCCTGTCACTTTGTTCCTTGTTTTTCAACTGCCCCTCTCCTCTCAAGCCCTGCTGCTGGGTGCAGGGATGGGGGCAATGGGGGTGTAGCAGCCTCAGTGTTCAACCTGGGCTTGAAGGGGTGGTTCCGTTGGCATTCAGAAACGTGTTTTCCTGGGAGCTGCACAGCAGAGTCACCTCTGCCCCGGGCGATCAGCCCAGAAGTCACCTCCTGGCCGGGACCCAAGCAAAACACGGGATTAACTTTGCCCTGTGCATGTGCTGGCTTGTAGCTGTTAAGCGTCAGGGAGAGCCCTTAATCCTGTGAACTGGGGAGGAGCGGTGCCTGCAGACATGGGAGCCAAGCTGCTGTGCCTCCTGCTCACCTCTGTCCTCCTCGCTTACTACCTCTACACCCCAATCCCCGAGGACTTTGAGGAGCCCTGGAAGGTGATGCTCATCACTGCTAGCTTCAGGGCTGTCGGGCACCTGGTGAGTGTGGGGCTGGCCTGGGGGTGGGAACTGCGGAGCAGGGGGTGTTCTCAGTGCCTCTGTGGCTGATAGAGTACGGCGACGTGTGTGTCATACATACATGTGTTATCTATTTCAAGGACAGTAGTATCTAAAATTAAACATTAAAATACTGTGACTGACTGTAAAGAAACCTGGAAAACATTTAATTGTGCAATCTTGAAGAAAGGACACTTAGAGTGACTGGAAATGTGATATGTAATGTGAATGTGGATAGGTAATAGCAAACAGGTTTAATTTGCTTTACAATCCTTTGGAGCTGAAGCTCTGCTCCTTGAATTTTTCCTCAACCTGTGTACTGAGCTTCCTCTGAAGCACTGGGTGTGGGAAGGGAGAACTTCAGCACTCGTTAGATACTGTTGGTTTTTGTGGTTTCATGGACATCTACTGACAGCATGAGCCTAAAAACTACCCAGAGCTAATTACAGGGGTGATAAGTGTGTAGAAACGGAGATGTATATAACTTTAATACCGCTGTAATCTTGCGTACCAAAAACCAGTCTCTACTAAGTGCACAGGACCGTATGTCACTGTCTGGAGAGCCAGTGGCAGTCTACCCTGCCTGTAGCCATACGGCACTATGTACTGACGACGCGGTCCTTATGCCCGTCCATGCTATTTTTATATATACTACATCCCTGCCTTCTCCATTTCAGTCATGTCCTACAGCCATTTCCAACGATGGAAACGATCTGCAGGGCTGCACACTGTGCACAAACAAGCGCTGCAGCTCCCACCCCTTATGTACGTGAACCCGGGGGCTGTTTTGAGCCCAGCCCGTACATAACACGTGGTGGCTGCAGCAGCACAGCCAACACCTAAAAAACAAGGTCAGAGGTGAAGGTTTGGGGGAGGAGGGGGCTGAGTGTTGCAGACATCTTTCTGGGGTGCTACCAACATTTTGGGTCTGCTTTTTTCTCTAATATATATTTATTTGAAAGGAGGGTCTGAGGACCCAGGAGGAAAGTTTCTAGTCTTCCCTGAGGAATGCTGCTGCAAGGATGCCTGCTGCAGGCCCAAACACCGGCTGTCTGCTCCCAATGCAGGAGCTTGGGATTTTGCCTTTTCCAGTGTTTCGGTGACAACGCGGTGGGTGTGAATTTTGGAGTCTGTGGGAGCCACCTCTTCTGTAACTCTTCTGGTGGAGACAAGGGCGTGTGTTTTCTTGGGATGCCTCCTAAACATCCCGCTCCTGGACGGTATCTAGAACCAGCGTCACTCTCCAGAGACAGCCCCGTGCCAGCCTGTGTTTGCAGCAGGCACCTCTTGTGAGGTCTGTACAGCCAGCAGAAGGGGGACGCGGGGGGGTGGATTTTTTGTGTGTGCGTTTACTCCAGGACTCTGCTGCTCCCTGGTTTGTTTTGATCTTGTGGCTTGAGGTCTGAGTGCTGGGAGATGAAAAAGTGGTAAGAAAGAAGCCGTAGTTGGCACTTCTGATGTGCTGCCTTGCTTCTTCCCTTCCTACATCCCCTTTTGGGGTTGGGCTGCAAGGAAGGTCTGTGCAGGGATAACTCATTTCCCAGGAACCCCTCGTGTCGGCTCGGAGCTCGGCACACAGGAGCGTTTTCTCTCGGCGCTGGAGGACTGTGAGTTTTCACTCCAACGGGCAGCTGGTGGCTGTTGCGCTGGCAGCCTGTTAAGCCTAAACCCGTTACAGCAGCGGTGGTGTGGAGCAAAGCGGTTTTGTAACCCCTGCAGAGCCGTTATCCGAAGGGCCTCTGATGAAGATAGCCTCCCCGGAGCTGCGCTGGTGCAAGGGAGACTGGAGATGGCTCTGAAGTGCCCTAAACACATTCTGAACGTAGTAGGGCAACAATTTATAACCACTTAGTGGTAGGTCTGAGTTTGCAGAGGGGACCCTATTTTGGTCCTTCTGACTCCCTGCTGTTTGAAAAAAGGGAAAGAATTCTGCTATTCTCAAACCCTCCTGAGCAAGAGGGTCCTCTCCAGGCTCCCAAAAGGACATGCCAAGAAAGCCATGACATGGCACATCTCTATCTTCTTTTTGTCTTGTCTTTCATGGGTCCTGGGGACCTCTCCAGCTTCTGAGCCAAATTGTGCAAGGTTTTCCCTGGTTTCATGTTTCCTGACCTGGATGATTGTGTGCCAGTCCCGGGCTGTTTGCCCAGTGGCAGTGGGTGCTGAGGGGCTCCAGAGGCTGGTCAGAGGACTGGGGTCTGTTCTTGCCCTGGGTTTGCTGGAGGGAGGACTGCAGCCGTGCTTGGTGTCGCTGGCGTGCCAGCCCGAGGCGTGCTGGAGTCCCTTCATACCCGTCTCGCCGCAGAAGGGAGGTGGGGAACGTCTCCGTTGCCATGTCTGTGCTACAACGTCCCACACTGAGGTGCTGCCTCGCTGGGGAATAGCCTCCAGGAAGAAACTGGCCAGTTTCTGCGGTGCTGAAGCACCAAGTTCTTCATGGATTTCCAGGAATGTGCACACAGTCCGAGATAAAATGCGTTAAAATACAAAATGTAACACAACATCTTCCTTCCCGGCTGAATGATTCCCTGGCTGAGACTCTCCCAAAGCTTCCTCTGTCCGCAGCTGGGCTCCTCACAAGCAGCCAAGTCCAGATCTGAGCCCCGTGCTGCCCGGCTCGCAGGATGCCCATGCTCAGCCGACGGAAAGCTGCCGCGGGAGGGGCGTCTCCGGGTGAGCTGTCACCGTTGGCATAAACAAGGTGCCAAAGGCAGTGCCAGGCGCTCAGCCTGCCAAGGCACAGCCCGGCCTTCTTCCTCACAAACACATTTGGGGTTTTTTGTCTGTGCTGCCATGCTTCCCTTATGGAACATGGAGAAAGTGACTGTGGAAAACGCTTTCCAAAGCACAAAACCCACAACGTGTCCGGTTTTCCTCTTACCCCATACCACGCAGTGATCTCAGCCTGGGGACAGTGAGACCTCGCAGATGAGGGTATGATTTCCTCTCGTCGTTACAGGCCTTGGAACCACAGGCAGAGGTTTTCCAGGATGTGAAATGCCGGCTTGTGGAAAGACTAGCTCAGAGTATTGAAAAGCCTCCTGAAGCTGAGGGAGTTCCTCCCAGTGTGGGGTGCTTCTGCCAGCTCAGTGGAATTGCAGCAGGACCCACCTCGTCCTACGTATTTTCTGCAAGATGCTCATCCTCAGGGAAGATGCAGCAGGAGAGACACGTTTGTCAACTGTGTGATGACTGTGGCTAAAGCCACACAGTTCTGGCATGTGTACGCCTTTGTCTTCCCTGAGCGTATGGCGAGGAGCTGCATTTCCCTCCGCAGCGTGCCGGTTGCTGCCTGTTTGCCTTCACCGATGCCACGGCCGAGGTTGGCAGAACTCGCTTGGTCCGAGCCTTCAGCGAGGTGACGACTAAGTATGCTGGCAAAGGCTGTCAAGTATTGTCAGCCGTGTCTTGGCTGTATTCTCTTTTCTACTGACTTCTGAGAAAGTAGGTTATATGTAGATGATTAAATTGTTGATTTAAATACAATTTTTAAAGTGGAAAAAGATCCACAAAGCCAACCCAGCAGGGTTCGATTGTGTGATTTTACAGCATCAAAGCCTGAATGCCAGATGTTTTACCTTTCAAAAGGTGATCAGTTACGGGGGGGTGTGTGTGTGTGTTTTGCATTCTTCCTGGCAAGAATAAAGCATCTCTTGGAAAGCTAAACTTCCAATGGGTTCTGCACCAGGCTGAGCTACTTTATTTCTTATTAAACTCAAACCTGCTTTGAGTTCAATCTGCTTTTTACCTTCAGGTAATATGTAAGACAGAACTTGGTTCTATTACTTAATCACTGTTATTGCTGTGTGACAAGGCGGGGACTTGTGTGGGAAGTTGGGTCACATCCCCTGTTGCTGGGGGTGGTTATGGTGGAACCAAGGTGCTGGCAGCGGGCACAGGAACTGTTGGTGGCTGTCAGTAGCTCCCTGTGGCACAACGTCTGTACCTGTGCGGGCGGCTGTGCCGGTTTTGGCTGGGCAGAGTTAATTTTCTTCCCAGTAGCTGCTGCGGGGCTGTTTGGTAACACCGTGGGGTGTTGACTGTTGCTGAGCAGTGCTGACGCAGCGTCAAGGGCTGTTCTGCTCCTCGCCCTGCCCCGCCTGCGAGTGGGTGGGGGGGTGGGCACAGAGGGACAGCAAAGGGACATCCCACGCTGGGTCTGCTCACAGTAAAAGCTGGGGAAGGAGGAAGGCGGGACGTTTGGAACAAAGGCGTTTGCCTTCCCAGGTCACCATGATGGACACGCAGAGCGGTTTGGGTTGGAAGGGACCTTACAGCCCATCCAGTCCCACCCCTGCCGTGGGGTATTTCTGCATAAGGAAACACTGCTCAGATCCTGACTTGTTACAATTCCCCTGAGAGAGCGTGAGGAATCGTGGTGCGGGGGGCTGCTGGGGTTGAAGTAGTCGTGGGGAGCTGCATGTCTAGCACAGACCACATGGAAAAAACAGAAATGTTTTTGCTCGGCTTTGCTCTGGTGTGCCACTGACTCAGTCAAACTGAGGCAGTTTTAAAGAAAAGTGTTATGTTCATGGTTTAAAATAGCCTGTGAGTGAAAGGGATTCTGAAATGCTTTAGTCTGTGTGAGCTGTCACGATGCCAGAGAGCCAAAGCTGCCAAATATTAATCTTTGGAGCTTGCATTTCACCTGCAGGTTTGCTTTCTAGGGTTTGGGTTTGTTTTCATTTTATTTGGCAACTTAGAATAACTGTAACCTAATTTAGAACCACAGCATTTCATCATATATGTTTAAAACACGAATTTCAAAGGAAACAGCTTTAACAGTAATAAGTTGGCAATTCCTTGATTCTGAACCTCTTTTCCTCTATCAGGGAATTCCCATGAGGCCTGTTGGGAAAGTTTGCCCTGCCCTTTGGGTAGCGGTGCCGGGCACCAATGATGCCCAGGGGCACCGATGGCCCCTCTCCCCTCGGAGGGCTGCGTGGGCCGGGGCTCCAGCGCTGCCGTACGGCTGGGGTAGAGTCAAGATTTCTGGGAAAAAGAACCTCTTAAAGTCAGCACTAGTGTTTAAGACCCCCAGCTAATGCACATATCAGACAGATCTCAGTCAGTGTCATCCTTATTTCCCTTCCTGGAGGATGCTGCTCCGGGTCCCAGGTCAGGGAGTCACTGGGCTCATCCTTGGTCAGGCTTGAGCCAGCGCTGGGTGGCCGGGGTGATGGCACCCAGGGCTGTGGGCTGGGGGAATAGGGATGCTGCTGGCACGGTTATTTTCAGGTTTTTATTGTGAAGTATCAAACGGAGGTAAGGATTTTATGGCTTAGATGAAGCTGGATCCTCCTCAAGGATGACAGGGCAGGAGAGAGCTTCTCAAGGTCTGGTGGCACATGGAGCAGGATGACATATTCTCCTCCGCTGACCATGCGGAATGGACAATAAACCCACAACTCGGTGGAGAACGTCTCCGTTATGTAGAGAAGCGTGAAGGCATGCAGTGAATGGAGTTGTTACATGTAAACTGAAGAAATCAAGCAGAGCTTAATGTAGTAAAGTGGCAAAAAACATAAAGGCTAAAATCTGCCTTTTTAACATCTCAAAGTGGAGAAGCTATTTCCTTTTAATAACGTAAGGGTACTCATGTCTAAACGATGCTCTCTGGCTACTGAGATGGAACTGATCGTTAGCGACTATTGTGCAGCTTGAAGCCAAATCGTTGTATCCTCGTATCTGTGCCACCGGTGTCCTTGGCATCCTGACAGCATCGGCTGCTTTTGCTCTGGAGCTCATCACAGGAGCAGTTGGCGCTTGGTTCTGCGGTACCGGGAGAGATGAGGAGGTCCCACTTGCTGAGCAGACCCTTGTTCTGGGATTCAGGAGGCTTCAGCTGATTCTTTCTCGCACATCCTCTGTGTCCGTGTTATCCTCTGTACCTGTGCTTCCAGTCGTTGTCCTAGCAATGGGAAGCGGTGCTGTCCCCTGGGCTGCCTTCCAGCCCCCACCACTGAGTGATGCTGCAGCAACTTTACAGACGTGCACAGAGCATCTGCTGGCTTTACAGAAAAATTTGATCCTTGATTAAGGCGGCATTTAAACTCCTTTTTTTCCCTTGCCTTGGGCTGTAGGCTGAGGTGGCCGATCGGCTGGGCCTGATGCACTACATGGAAGCTCTGATGCTGATCACGGCTGCAGAGTACATCGCGCCCACGTCCGATGAGAACGTCACTGTGTCTGACACGGAGTTCAGCGGCGTGGCCGTCCGTCTGTACCTGCCCAGAAGGGCGACGGATGGGCTGAGGAGGGCAGTGGTCTACTTCCACGGTGGAGGGTGGTGTGTAGGACAGGCAGGTAAGCCCTTCTCCCTCACCCCCGGGGTCTGCATGGAAATCTCAACGGATGCCGGTAGCTCTGCCTCTTGTTCTATGGGACGTGCCACAGTGTCAGGGAACTGGTATTTCGCCAGTTAAACCCAGGTGGAGGTTTTGGGATGTCACCCGAAAGCCTCTGCACAGGGGAATGTGCTGTTGTGCACGTGTCTGTTCCCAAAGGTAGTGGAGTGTATTTTAAGTGACTCGTTTCATTTCAGGCATGAAATCCTACGATCATCTGACAAGGTGGACTTCAAACAAGTTAAATGCTGTCGTGGTATCAGTCAAGTAAGATTCCCCTTCTAGATGGGATGAGGGTTAGGAATAAATTCATCTCTTTCAAGTAATGTGATTTTGCAATGCCTTTTGCGGTGAGATGCTTTCCTGCTTTAAGTGTCTGTGAACAAAAGCTGTCGAGGTGTGGTGGTGAATTGTGGTTGGTGGCTATTTTGGATATTGCTTTGTGGAGCTGGGTGGGTGATAAAATATTTGATCCTCAGGGATAGACAGATAGTTCCCACTTCTGCGGGCCCAGAAAATAATAAACCTTCACCAGCCAGGGCAGATGTTGGCAAGCCTTTCTCTTTATTAACAGCAGGAAGTGACACGCTTCTGCTTGGCTCTGACAGTTACAGGTTGGCTCCCAAATACCATTTTCCCGTTCAGTTTGAAGATGTCTATTCGGTGACAAAGTTCTTCCTCCAGAGCAGCGTCCTCTCCCAGTACGGGGTGGACCCGGACCGGGTCTGTGTTGCAGGAGACAGTGCTGGTGGCAACTTGGCTGCAGCTGTGGCACAGCAGGTAAAAACCCAACCAACCAAAAACCCACCACCAACAACATCGAAAAAACCCAAAAGAGCTGGTTTGTTAGCTCAAAAAAATACTTTTTGTCCTTTCACGAGCGCTTACAACAGACTAACAAAAACCTCTGCTCAAAGGAAGCACACCTCCCACGTGTCTCGTGGTCTGTGCATGCGGGATGGCACGTAACCTGCAGGACTGAGCCTCCTGGCAAGTGAATTGTCCCGAGACGTGCAACGGCGTCGAAGTAGCTTTGACGCCGTGACATCCCCCAGACCTTTATACCCTAAAGACAGGCGCTCTGCCCTGGGGTTAGGGCACACATCACTCTGTCGTTAAGCACAGACTGACTGGTTCAGGTATGTTGTTTGAAAAGGCAATTTTAGCAATTTGACTCAGATAGCTGTAAATAGCACCAAAAAAAAGAAAGGACCAGATGTTCCAGTGTCACTTAAACGCACATGGCTTTGGTGCCTTTTGCACTTCTCAGGTTTACTAACTAGTGCGAGGTAGTTGCTGTCTTGAAGTTATTTGTATGATAATGAATCTCACTTGGAATGGTGGTGAGTTTGCTGGGGATGCTGAAGGCAGAAAATGAGGCAGAAGGTGGAAATTTATTAGTGAAGAGGGAAGAAGGATGATTGGAAATTTATTAGTGAAGAGGGAAGAAGGATGATATGTATGAAAAGTCTGTGCTTAGTTTATCACTTTTTATATTTTTTGTGTCTAAAATGCACAGTCGTAGCTGTTTGAGTACCAACACCTCAGGGTTTGGAAAGAACCCAAATGGATAAACTCTAAACTGTGAAATTATTAAAAGGAGCTTCAGAAAAACTGCAGGTTTTAAGCTAGAAAAATAGATGTTTTCTATAGTTATAGAAAAAGCATTTGTAACTATGGAAAACCTCAATGCTTCAAAAAGAATATTTCCCAAATATTGTTGTCCTTCAACATAAGAACTAAATAACAAATATTTTAAATTCTCAAAATGAAATTATACAACATACTCGTTTAGGTGACCTGCCTATGAATTTAGAATTTCTTTCAATTGATCTATCCTGGATTATTGATAAGCTTATTTTGCTTAAGTTGTAAAACGTGTGTGTTAATTCCTTCCTTTTAAGGTCTTCAGTCAGTGTAGGAGAACCAATGCTTTTCAACTGACCTTTTGTAATTATTTCTATCCTACAGCTGTTGGAGGACACTGAAGTCAAAACGAAGCTCAAAGCCCAAGCTTTGCTTTACCCTGCTCTCCAAGCCCTTGACCTGAACTTGCCATCTTACCAGAAAAATGAAAACAAGCCCATTTTACCCCGGTCACTCATGGTCAAGTTCTGGAGTGAATATTTCACTTCCGATCCATCCCTCAGGGAGGCGATGGCCTCCAACAGGCACGTCCCGGTTGAGTCGAGTCACCTGTTCCAGTTTGTGAACTGGAGCACTTTGCTGCCCGAGGAGCTGAAGAAGGGTCACGTTTATGCCCATCCTGCCTACGGAAGCCCCGAGCTGGCACAGAAGTACCCGGGGTTTCTGGACGCGAGGGCAGCCCCGCTGCTGACAAGCGATGCCCGGCTACGCGGGCTGCCCCTCACCTACATCCTCACCTGCGAGCACGATGTCCTCCGGGACGACGGAGTCATGTACGCCGAGCGCCTCCGGGCAGCGGGCGTTCCCGTCGCCCACGATCACGCCAAGGATGCCTTTCACGGGGCAATGATGTTTGTCTCCAGCCCAGCCGAGTTAGCCGTAGGGCACCGGCTGTTGAATGGGTATATCAAGTGGTTGGATGAGAACTTGTGAGTTGGAAATGTCGCCCTAATATGCCTGGAGCTGCGTGAGTTTTTGGGTGTGATTGCAGTCTTTGTTGTGTTGCCCCAGTGTCTGGATTGCAGCGTTTCTCGTCTTCTCTGGCAGGGAAATCAGCCTGATTCCAAACCAAGTGTCCTTTCGGTGCTGCGGTCCAAGCTCAGAACCCCATAAACGGCTTGGGACTGCCCTGGGATTTCTCTCCTGGCCAGGACGAGGAGGGTTGCTGTGTCCAACCCTGCCCACACGCTGCTGGGCTCAGCCAAGACTCCGGCTGGCACCGCCGGTCTCTTGAGTCGGCTGCTGCTTGTTCCCTCTGACGGTGATGTGTTCACCTGGCAGGCTAGTGCAAACGGGAAAGGGCGCTGTCGGCACACGGGACGTGCCCCCTGTCCCCTCCTCGCTCCCTTGTCCTGCGGGACGTGCCAGCGAGGCCTCGCAGCTGCCGTCGAGCAATGGGCTGAGTGGGGTGCGGGGATCCGACGCCGGGAAGCACAGGGCAGCTGGTGGAACCCTGCCCGCCGCACACGGCTGCCGGGTCTGTGCTGTCGTCTCTCTCCAGCACGGCTCCAGGGAGGCACTTGGATGGCTCTGACACTGTGCGAATGCTGGCTCGGGGGGGGTGGTATGGGGGTTTTTCCTTTTGTTTTTAAAAAAGGCATCTGTCTTACTCAGTAATTACTTTAATTCCTCTGCTAGAAGGAAATAGTGTAGAAAACAGCCCTGGATATTCATCAGCTAAGGGAAGGCTCTGGAGGTCGTAGCCTTACAACAGCACTGCATGTTTATGCTCGGCTCATTTAATAAGTTAGGGATGGTGTCTTCTGATTATCCTTAAAATTGTTGAGCAGTTTTTACATATGACTTATCTTTAAATAGTTGGGTTAATAGCTTTATAGGCTTGAAAGAAACACGGTTCAGCTGTCAGTCTTGAGCAAATACCCTCTACGTGAATGTTTTATGTCTTAAATATAAACCCTAAAAGTCTGGAATGGTGGATGCACACACTGGTTGGCTGCGGGTTTTGAACTGATCGCAACACACCACAAATGTCCTTCTAGCATCCTGCTCTGCATAAGACACTGAAACTTCAATGATTCTGTTGGTTTTTTTTTTTCTGGGTCTGTGTGCAGCCTGTTCGGATGGAATGTATATGGAAAGATTGCCCTATTTTTCTTATGTATTATGTTGGAATATGAAGATTAAACCTGTCGTTGCTGCAATGCAGTGTACTCTCACTCGAGCATCCTGTTTACCGGGAAGGCACATCTGGTTTAGTACGGTAGCTACTGCAAACAGCCAGCACCAAACCCAGGGCGGTCTGTTAATTGTTATTAATGTGACTTTTTGAAGGCAGTGCCTGACTGTGGTTGTTGGAGAGATGCAGAAGTGGTTGAGTGGGTGTCCACCCAGACAAGGATGCTGCTGCTTGCTCCTGGGACGGAGAGCAGCGAGGAGCTGAGCCTGGCTGTGGGGAAGCTGGCCCATGGCTCCTGCTTCCCCCCCAGGAGAAAACAGTGTCTGGTGCTGCAGGAGCAGATTCTGTGTCTCTGCTTGAATCCATCCTTGAAACAGCAAGGGCTTTGCTGCCAGCGCACGGGGCACGGACCGTACCACGGGGTGAAACGCGTCTCACGTAGCCCACGTGCACCGCACTGTGATGTCCTTGCACGTCCCTGGGACATGAGTGTGCTCATGCCAGCTCCCAGCGTGTTTGGGAAGTTATTTCCTGTGGTCTGGGCTCCTGTCTGCTGCCAGCAGGCATCTCCACTGGAGTTCTCTCATTTGGAATTAACAGTACTTTAGCATTCCTGAGGAAGTTGGGGTTTGGGGGTTTGCCTCAGTAACACCTTTGATCGGAGTGTTTATGCAGTAATATGGTCATGTCCAGGAGAATATTCCCCAGGCTGGGTATTGCCAGGGCTGTAAATGCCAGTGGGATGAACAGAGTTGGGCAGTAGTGCATCAGTGATCCTTTCTGAGTCTTACAGGCTGCTTTATTCTTTTTTTCCATATAAAAAGCAGAAAAAGGTGCTTGAGAGGACAGTCTGTGCTGGGGACATGCACAAAGCTGGGATACGAAAGCAGGCATCCCTTGGGATCAGGTTGCTGCTGTTGGCTTTGCATGTTCTCCATCCCTGCGGGCACTGGGCATCACTGGTGAAGCGGCATGGGTCTGGTTTTGGGGAACCCTCACCCATCACTCAGTGCCAAGGGCTGGCATGACAAGCAGGAGGCTGGTTCTTCCTGGCCAGGGCAGCCCATGGGATCCATCCTGCCCGGGAGGGGAGCCTGGAATTCAGGTATTCCTTACTGACCAGCCCGCTGGAAGACCGTGTTACTGCAGGTGCCAGCTCACGTGGCTAAGAGCTTTGCGAAGTCTCTGGCCTCAGATTAAGCAGGGTTTAGAAAACTGTGCTCAGAAACAAAAGAAATCTATGCAATGTTCATAAACTGTGGCAAAAGTCTAAAAATGCTGAAGTTGCATTAAGAATATTGTAACTATAGTTATAAGAAACTTTTGAAACATCTTTTTCTTTGAAATATTTGTGCCTTTTTACACATCTTTTTCTCGGGGAGAGCACGTTTTGGGCTGGACAAGGCCTGTGAGCTGCTCCTTCCCTGCCTTGCTGCAGCTTCGGTGGCACTGACGGACCCCTCTGTGCTGGAGCGTGGTGGTCCTGGGCAGAGCCCTGTGGGGACCCCTGCCCAGCCATCACCCCCTTGGTGGTGATGAGGAGGAGAGACCTTCCCATGCCCACTCCTTGGGCAGGATGCGGGGGCCAGGGAGGGGTGGGGAGTACCCACTGAGGCTGGGTGCCTCCGGCAGCACCCGCCTGTCCCGCTGTCAAAGCTGAAAACTTCCCCCAAATTGCATTTTACCCTTTTGTCTCGGCTGTTGGGTCTGGTTTACACAAATCCACTAATTGTGGCCAGGAAGCGCTGAGGAGGGGTCATTTATTCAGCCTCTTTTTGTCCTTCGGAGCCACAGCACTTGCCTGAACTAACAAAACATTTAAAAGCTGTGAAGTGAGAAGCTGGTGTTATTTATCAGCCACGTGGGAAACTTCAAAGCAGCTTCTGTAATGCTTAAATATCAGCTGATTTGTTGGCCCCATCTTCAGGGAAAACCTGGAATACACTTCTGTATGCCAGATATTACCAGGGTTAATATTCGCCAATCTTAAAGCAGCTCGCAATGCAGGGAAGGGGTGGGGAAAGTGGTATTTTTAGTGTCTGAGCTGTGTTTATTTCCCCTATTTTAAAATAATCATGGTGACATTCAGGCTTTTTCACTGATGTGTGTCATGACCTTGCATTTTACCTCCCTGGACTGGGCTTGTTCACCAGGCTCTGATTACACTCGGCTGCCATCTGTAGTTTATAAAAAACACATTTGTAAGAGCACAAAATGTGTTTTATGTATATTGCTTTGTATAAATCCACGGAAGTTTGCGTTTTAAACAAACTGCATGCTGTTCTTTAAACACCAAAGCTCTCTGCACCCCTGCAGCTGTGTGGGGAAGGAGCCCCGAGATGCAGCAATCCAGGGGGGTCTGGGTGGCAGAGCCCAAGCTGGGGGTCTCCTGCCTCCCTGCTGCCCGGCAGTACAGCTGGGCTGGTGGTGCGGGAGCAGGAGGAGGAGGAAGGCTCCAGGATGCTTCCATCCAGCAGCTGAGAGCGGTGAAGGCTCCTTCCTCCTCCTCGTCCTGGGAGGTGGAGGTTGAAAAAAGGGGATTATAGCTTTGGGGGGAGCAAAAGGAATCTGTGTGTTGGACTTCTTGAAACACAGGTTATCAATGATGATCTATTCCTCCCAGGGAAAAAAAAAACCTTGAATAATTGAAGCAATTTCATCTCTTTCCTCATTTTCAGGCCCTGCATCTAATTAGTACAATTCCAGTTACCAGATGGTGAGGTGCGAAGGGCAGAGCGAGCGCGGGATGTGTGCTCCGGAGGCACTTCATGCAGACACCCCCGGGATGCTGCGGTGCTGCAGGCTGGCTCTGGTGCTGCTGTCAGGAAAGCAGAACTGCGGGCAGGAGATAGGTGGGGTGTCATTTGGGGTTTATCTGACCCTTGTACGTGCCACTTGTTCACACGCAGCAGCTCCTAACAGCCGTGTCTCCTGCCAGGCAGCACCCAGCGCGGTGCTGGGGAGGGGGTGTGGGTGCTGCCAGTGTCAGCCTGGGGATGCTCAGCCCTCCCCATGCCCTCTGCCTCCGCGGCCCCCAGCCCCTCTCCTCCATCGGGTTCTGATTACTGCAATGCTGCGGGCTTTTTCTGTCTCAAGCCTGACACTCACTCTCTGACATTCTGAATTTTCAGGAGCCAGAGCCCCATCCATTACCTCTTCAGGGCAGTGATGGAGAACGTGTAACACATCCTGGTGTGATGTGGCTGCAGCACCGGGCTGAAGCGAGCGGGAGCATGGGCTGCTTTGAGCACCTGAAATATCTAAAGCACCCTACAAACATCCCCTCATTAACGGTCCAGCCGGGGTGGGAGGTGCCGTGGCTCTCAGCCTTGGAGAAGGGAAGGCTCCAGGGAAACCTTAGAACCCTTTCCAGTGCCTGGGAGGGCTACAAGAAAGCTGGGGGGGATTTTTCCCAAGGGCGGGGAGTGGCAGGGCAAGGGGTGACGGGTTTAAATGGGAAGAGGGAGATGGAGATGGGCCATCAGGAAGGAATTCTTCCCACAGAGGGTGGGAGCACTGGGACAGGTTGCCCAGAGAAGCTGTGGATGCCCCATCCCTGGGAGTGTCCAAGGCCAGGCTGGATGTGGCTTGGAGCAACCTGGGATATGGAAGGTGTCCCTGCCCATGGCAGGGGGGGTGGAACTGGAGGGGCTTTGAGGTCCCTTCCAGCCCAAACTGTTCTGTGATTCTATGAATCCCAAGTGAGGGTAAACATCCCTTGTTTAAAGAGATCTGCAGGAAAGGTCACTCAAGGTCAACCTTAATGACTTATCCCAATCAGCCAAGTGCAAAGACA